ATAAAGGTGAGTGTCTGGGACAGCAAGAGAGGACTCTTGGCAAGGAAGCATTTTGAGAGCTACTTTCAGGGTCTCTCCATACCCTGGGTCATAAACAGTAACTGCAAAAGCTATCACGATGAGAAAATACCTTGATTCATGTAACTGGAAAGTCAAGCGCTGCCTGGTCTCAGGGTCCTCCACTGCGTCCAGGGTGCCCAGGCAGCTGGTCTTCTCTGAGTCATGTGATGCCACCAAAGAGAAGTATGGCATTTTGGAAGAGTTACCTTAGAGCTGATGCCCCATGAGCTTGAGATTTGAATGGACTTGGGCCCTTTTTCAAATTTAGTTCTTAGATCCTAAAACCCGCAACACAGCACTCATTTCAAAAGGAATACGACACATTTTTTTCCTAAGCAAAATGTGAGTGACTATGGCCTAGGGACATGTATTTGGGTTACCCCAAGGGACATATTTTAGCATGGACTTGGTTACAAGAGATTTTATTAGTCAAAGGCCAAAGAAAGTCATAAATTAGGGCATTAACCAAAAACGTTTAGTAGGGCTATAGGCAGGTAAGTTACATCAAAGAAGGAAAAATTCTACTACGTATTTAATTACTCTCTGATGACATTCGTAGCTTTTGGAAGCTAGTGGGCTGCCAAAAATACATTTTAAAAGTTATTTATTTATTTATTTATTTATTTTAGAGACAGGGTTTCTCTGTAGGTTTGGCGCCTGTCCTGGAACTAGCTCTTTTAGACCAGGCTGGCCTCAGACTCACAGAGATCTGCCTGCCTCTGCCTCCGGAGTGCTGGGTTTAAAGGCGTGCGCCACCACCTCCTGGCTAAAGGTTTTATCTGATGGTCCAAAGGAAGTTAGGCTAGACAGGAGTGGGCAATAAATGGTTGTAAAGAGAGCACTAAAAATAGCTCACGATAATTTGGCTCTAAATCTGCAGTTCTAACACTCTGTTGCCACAAAGTCCTCATTGAGTGTTCAGCCTTGCACTCTTCAACACAGGCGTGGCCTTTTCTTGCTGTTCCCCTCCCCCCCCCCCCCCCCCCCACCCCCGCCCCAGGCCCAACTTTAGAGTTCTATATCTCAGTTGTTTAACTTTGCCTGCAAACAAAGGAATGCTCTTCGGGATGTGATTCCCAACCTGTAGGCTACAACCCCTTGGGTGTGTGTGTGTGTGTGTGTGTGTGTGTGTGTGTGTGTGTGTGTATGTGTGTGTCACATATCAGATATCCCACATATCAAATATTTACATCACGATTCACAAGAGTAGCAAAATTACAGCTATGAAATAGCAATGAAATAATCTTATGGTTGGGGGGTCCCCACATCATGGGGAACTGTAGGAAGGGGTCACAGCATTAGGAAGGTTGAGGACCACTGCACTAAGGTTTCAGTATCATGCAGTCAGCACAGACAGGCTGCTGGGAAAGGATACCCCTTATTTATTCTCCTGCTTGGTATACATTGAGCTCCTGATGTGGGAGTCCCCGCTGTGTGCTGTGATTACCACTAATGAATAAAGAAACTGCTTTGGACCTATAGCAGGGCAAAACTTGGGTAGGCAGGGAAAGCTAGGCTGAATGCTGGGAGAAAGAAGGGCAGAGTCAGAGAGAAGTCGTGGAGCCGCCACCAGAGTCAGACATGCTGAAACTTTGCTGGTAAGCCACTACCATGTGGTTATACACAGATGAATAGAAATGGGTTAAATTACTATGTAAAAGTTAGTCAATAAGAAGCTGGAGCTAATGAGCCAAGAAGTGATTTAATTAATACAGTTTCTGTGT